ATTTGTTGCTCTCTCAACTACCGAAGCTGAATTTATTGCCATTACGGAAGCTTGCAAAGAAGAGTTATGGTTGAAGAAATTTTTGCAAGAGTTGGGTTTGAAGCAAGAAAAGTATGTGCTTTATTGTGATAGTCAAAGTGCTATTCACTTGAGTAAAAATTCTACTTTTCATTCGAGATCGAAACACATTGATGTGAGATACCACTGGATTAAATTGTCAAGATCCTTTTGGGGTGAGGCATTGAAGACAGCGGTTGACGTGATCAATTTGTCTCCTTCCTATCCTTTGAATGGTGATGTTCCAGAAAGAGTTTGGACCGGTAAAGATGTGTCTTATGAGCACTTGAGAGTGTTTGGTTGTCGAGCCTTTGTTCACATTCCAAAGGATGAGAGGTCCAAGCTTGACAGCAAGTCAAGACAATGTATCTTTCTTGGCTATAGGCATGATGAATTTGTGTATAGATTGTGGGATCTAGTCGACAAGAAAGTCATTCGAAGCCATGATGTTGTGTTTCTTGAAGACCAAACAATTGAAGACTTTGGCAAAGGTGATCAGCCGGAGCAAAAAACTAGTGATCTCATTAACATGGATCCATTTCCTTCATCTTCAGTTGATGATGAAAATGGGGGAGTTGTGCAGCCACCTATTGAAGATATAGAGGATGATGCTAATTCTAATGAGTTGAGCCAGAAATTGAGGAAGAGCATCCAACTCAAGAACCACCACCACAACTTGAGTTAAGAAAATCTACAAGGGACCGACAACCTTCAAGAAAGTATCCTCCCAATGAATTTGTGTTGATTTCTGATCAAGGGGAGCCGGAGAGCTATCAAGAAGCAATTGAGCATGCAAAGAAAGGTGATTGGAAAAAGGCCATGGAAGATGAGATGAACTCCTTACTTGAAAATCACACCTATGATTTAGTGAAGTTGCCTAAAGGGAGGAAAATTCTGAAAAATAAGTGGGTCTTCAAATTGAAGAATGATGGCAAAAATCTGAGGTACAAAGCACGTCTTGTTGTGAAAGGCTTTGGGCAAAAGAAAGGCATTGACTTTGATGAGATTTTCTTACCGGTTGTGAAGATGTCTTCTATTCGGGTTATACTTGGCATCGCTGCAAGTATGAACCTTGAAGTTGAACAACTTGATGTGAAGACCGCATTTCTTCATGGTGATCTTGAAGAAGAAATTTACATGGAGCAATCGGAAGGTTTTATGGAGAAAGGAAAAGAGAAATTTGTTTGCAAATTGAAGAAAAGTTTGTATGGTCTCAAGCAAGCCCCGCGGCAATGGTACAAAAAATTTGACTATTTCATGATGAATAATGGTTTTTCTAAAACCACTTCGGACCATTGTGTGTTTGTGAAAAATTTTCCGGATGGCAAATTTATTACTCTTTTGCCTTATGTTGATGACATGTTAATTGTGGGTCAAGATTCTACCATGATAAACAGGTTGAAATTGGAGTTGAGCAAGTCTTTTGCTATGAAAGATTTGGGACCGGCAAAGCAAATTCTTGGTATGAAAATTGTTCGTGATCGCAAAGAGGGACTGATTTGGTTGTCTCAAGAAAGCTACATTGAGAAAGTTCTTGAGAGGTTCAACATGAATAAAGCAAAGCCGGTTGGTTGTCCACTTGCAGGTCACTTCAAACTTAGTTCGAATCAATGTCCTACAAGTGAGAAAGACAAAGAAGAGATGTTGAAAGTTCCTTATGCTTCAGCAGTTGGTTCTTTGATGTACGCCATGGTATGTACAAGGCCGGATGTTGCTCATGCCGTTGGTGTGGTGAGTCGTTTTCTCTCTAATCCGGGTAAAGAACATTGGGCAGCAGTAAAATGGATTTTAAGGTATCTTCGAGGGACTTCGAAGGTGTGTTTGTGTTTTGGGGATGGTAAGCCGATGCTTGATGAGTTCACAAATTCTGACATGGCTAGTGATGTTGATTCTCGGAAATCTACTTCGGGGTATTTGATGACTTTTGCAGGGGGAGCTGTGGCATGGCAATATAAATTACAAAAATGTGTTGCTCTCTCAACTACCGAAGCTGAATTTATTGCTATTACAGAAGCTTGCAAAGAAGAGTTATGGTTGAAGAAATTTTTGCAAGAGTTGGGTTTGAAGCAAGAAAAGTATGTGCTTTATTGTGATAGTCAAAGTGCTATTCACTTGAGTAAAAATTCTACTTTTCATTCGAGATCGAAACACATTGATGTGAGATACCATTGGATTCGTGATGTGTTAGATTCGAAATTATTACAACTCGAAAAGGTTCACACAAATGATAATATTTTGGATATATTGACGAAGACTTTGTCGAGGGACAAACATTTAAAGTGTCAAACTTTGGCGGGTATGGTTGATGTCTCCACCTAAGTCGGTAGGGGGAGAATTGTTGGGTATACCTCCTTATTGGAGTGTGGGACCCAATTGGTTTAAAGATGTATCTTATGAGCACTTGAGAGTGTTTGGTTGCCGAGCTTTTGTTCACATTCCAAAAGATGAGAGGTCCAAGCTTGATAGCAAGTCAAGACAATGTATTTTTCTTGGCTATGGGCGTGATGAATTTGGGTATAGATTGTGGGATCCGGTCGACAAGAAAGTCATTCGAAGCCGTGATGTTGTGTTTCTTGAAGACCAAACAATTGAAGACTTTGG